GGAGGTGCTTTTCAACCTCTACCAGGAAGGCACTTTGGATACATTTTAACCTTCCGATTTGTCTCAGAGGAAAACTCAATCCAAAACATTCCTGCTTAGTCAAATACTAGTTGAGAGATTTGATAAAAAACACAAAGGTAGATTAATGCTACCATCCAAAGTGATGACAGACAAAGTAGATAGGAGATTCTTATACTCATTAATCCGTCAATCGTCTAGGCTTCTCAGCACATTCTAATTCAAGCTTGGTCAAATACTTGTAGAAAGATCTGACATAAGACACTCTTGTAAAAATAATGTTCTACAAAGGTTGATCAATGCTACTATCCAAAACGATGACAGACAAAGTAGATAGGTGATTCTTATACTCATTAATCTCTCAATCGTTCAAGTTTCTCAGCACATTTACCTACCACTCCATTTTCCCTCCCCTCATTTCTATAAAAGAATCACTAATCAGAATATCTTTTTGTTGTGCTATAATGAAAATGTGAGAAAATTAATTTCTAAGGATTCCGCATTCCAACCACCAGTCCTGCAAAATTGACTATGTTACGCTTGCCAATCCTCTATTTACTACATGCTTGAAATCTATCCATTCCCTTTTTTTTTTCCACAATCCTTTCCCATGCGGTTTTGACAGTGTTTTGGTGAACCAATTTTTCGCATCAATTCCAAACTTCGGTTTTATCGTCCTTCTCCATAGGATACCCTTTTCTTTCATAAATCTCCAGAGTCATCCTATAGGATCATGTTCATTTCCACTAGGAATCTCAACCCCAGTCCTCCTTGGGGACATGGCTCCTTAATCTCCTCCCAAGCTACTAGATAATATCTCCTTCTTTCCTTCAATCATCCCAAAAGAATCTATATTGGATAGCCTCCAACCTCTTTGCAACACTTGCTGGAATAGTCATAAGAGATGTATAATAAATAGGTAAAATGCCCAACGTGCTTTAGATAAGCATTAGTCTCCTTTCTTTATAAAGAAGAGCTCTCTTCCAACCAGCCAGCCTTTTCTCAAATCTAGTCACCACTGGCTCCCATGTTCTTACCTCTTTATAATTAGCCACCAACATGCCTAAACTTAATCTACCCCGACCCAAACCTGATCATTTAGTAGAAAGACCGTATTGGACCAAGTTCATGCAAAGCAGGTTAATCAGGTCCTGGCATGTGACGTCCCAACTTACCCATTGAGTAAAAAAGGAGCCGAAAACTCAATAGATTACGAGTGCAAAATAAAAATTTTTATATTGAAGCGGAATTTGGAAATCCCTCACCACCTCCTAAGTTCAGTTCCCTATAATAAGGCCATAAGATGGCAATTCAATACAAAATAGACTCCTTACAAGAAGCCTCATCAGAGTACAGAGTAATTGTTGCACTCGAATTATATTTTAGAGTATCATCAAGAGTCTGGAAATTAGTCTAACTGATCTCCAAGAGGTGATTCAGAGAGCGAATTCTTAATTTTCTCAACACCTGGAGGGAGCACGGATTAGGGGTAAGTTTTAAATAAATTTAGTAAAAGAAACAGCATTTGAAATCACACAATTAAAGTTTAAAGAGTAAGTATTTTGAATAAAACTTGTATACTGCTTATCTTAGAATTCATCACGGGATGGAGCAATTAAATCGTGTGAAAAACTATTGTCCTTATAAATACCAGATAAACAGACATTCAACATCATAAAAATATCATCTTAAGTAGACACATTTCATCAAGTATGCTCAAGCGGATATCATGTCGAGTAAACAGAGAAATTGAATAAGGTGACGACAAGAGAAACATCAGAAAATATAATCGATGCACCAAAAACAGGAATTCCATCATACGAATCAAAATGATGCTCTAAACCATGCTTAAGTTTTATTTTTCTTTTACTGACTTTCGCACGAAACCGTTGCAACTTATATCCACCGATGGCAGAAAAGATCCATGACTACCACTGTGACTCACCGACCTATTCTCGGGTCTTATCATTTCCCCCATCTAGACTTTAATCCATAGCGATCCATTCGTCATGGGGACCCTACATTCACCTAACGCAAATCCTCTCTCGTCAGAGGGAACACCGATCATCACAGGGAGTGATTTACCAACACTTATTCAAAGGAGGGAGAAACAGAAACCCCTCAAAAAAAATGGTCGAACGGATTTTTTTCCATTCTTCTTACTTGTTTATTTCATATTCACAACAATTTCATATTTTCTTCATATGCATGTTATATGTTCAATGTAATCACTTTCGAACCTAATATCACATATCCAACCCGAAAGCTCATATCCGGTCCGAAGGCTCATTTCACATATCCGGCCCGAAGGCTGATACCACTGTGACTCACCGACCTATTCTCGGGTCTTATCATTTCCCCCATCTAGACTTTAATCCATAGCGATCCATTCGTCATGGGGACCCTACACTCACCTAACGCATATTCTCTCTCGTCAGAGGGAACACCGATCATCACAGGGAGTGATTTACCAACACTTATTCAAAGGAGGGAGAAACAGAAACCCCTCAAAAAAAATGGTCGAACGGATTTTTTTCCATTCTTCTTACTTGTTTATTTCATATTCACAACAATTTCATATTTTCTTCATATGCATGTTATATGTTCAATGTAATCACTTTCGAACCTAATATCACATATCCAACCCGAAAGCTCATATCCGGTCCGAAGGCTCATTTCACATATCCGGCCCGAAGGCTGATATCACATATCCAATTCGAAGACACATATCACATATTCGGCCCAAAAGCTCATTTTACCCGAACTTAACCTTTGGGTCACCTTCTTGAACCAAGGTCTACTAGAATAACCCTCTTCACCATTACCTAAGTGAGGTGAAGGGCCAAACCTGCATGTAACCTCTAATTTTCATGTTTTCATGCAGTATGCTCAATATTTTCCATGGCAAAACGAAATCAAACATTTGCAAAGATAACCAACAAACAATTCAACTAAGAAAAACATCACTCTAGACAAGGTTTCATGCATTTTAATCATGTAACAAACTCTTATGCATCATGCTCATGTTCAGAACCCAATGGGGGTCCAACCCATTCGGCCAAAAATCTATTACTTCTGTTCTTGGCCATCAGGATATTTTCACGCAGTCGTGACTCATCAAAATACTCCTCTTTGCTCTTACTAAGAGTAAGGTAATGGATAGGTCTCATACAAATCTCATTTAGTCAAAATGAGTATAAAGGTCTCGAAGTAGATTAACAACCAATACCAAATAAAATATGACACCAAGCAAGCATTCACAACTATCTCATGTTATCATTATCTTATTTAGTTAGAAAGAGCACTTAGAGTCATAGAAATAAATACTAAAGAATCCTTTACCTTAACCGGGTTGTCTTAACCTTTAGGTAGTAAAGGAAGAGTTTCTAAAAATCCTCTGAACGAGCTTGTGAAACTCCAAACTTTTCTTTTCTTTCTTGCTCCTTAATCTCCCTAAAGATCTTCCCTTTCTCTCTCTAAAAGTCTCTCCTCTTACTCTCCCTCTCAGATTGGAAAATGAAGAAGGAAAAATGGTGAGGAAGAAATGGAAAGGAAGAGGTTTAAATAAAAAAAGGGAAGGCCGGATTTGCGCCACTTGGCAGCAATCGGTGAAATGGAGTGAAGAGGCGGATTTGGGGCGCACCAAGTATGACCAAAAGAAGAAAAGAAAGGCCAAAGGTGGCCATTTGACTGACGGGACAAGGCTGTCCCATCAGTGACAGCACACAGCTGTGCGCGTGCGCAAGCGGCCACGCTGCGCACTGTGCACGTGTACTGCGCACACAGTCGCACGCACAAGCGTGTGCAGTGCGTGCGGGCCTGCCCACACAGGCTGTTCGCGATCGCGGGCTGCTGCTCACAGGCTGCGGCTCACAGGTCACGGGCTGCGGGCCGGGGTCGTGGTCTGATTTTTTCCCCAGCCATTTTTTTCTTTGTTTTTCTCCAGAAATTTTTGGCAAACTCAGATAACATTTTGGAAAAACTAATTAAAATAAAAGGGTTTGAAATTTTAAATGAAAATTTTTGTAAGGTAGTAGACCGGAAATATTGTAGTTTTAAATTCGTTACGTACCAAAAAGTCAGGGTGTTACATGGCAACTCTTGCCATCCCTATTATAGCTCCATCTGCTACATGCAATCTGGTTAGGGGTAAAAAAACAAAGGAGACAGACATGCGTGGATCAAGGTCAGATTACCACCAGAGAGAAAAGCCCCCTTTCCAACTTTCTAACCTCTTGGCCACTTTATTCTCTAGCCCCTCCCGAAAATGATTACTCCTCGGTTATCCCCTGAGTGGACTCCCAAATATGTCAAAAGCTAATCAATTCTAGCACACTTATTGACTCTGCTAGGCTCACTACGATCTAAGCCTCCACATTAATTCTTATGAGACTACGTTTCCCCATATTGATTCTTAGTCCTGAGATACACTCAAATTTTGAAGAAGAGTAAAACACATTTTTTATTAACCTATAATTATGTAGCAAAAATAATATTGTGTTATCAGTAAACTATAGATGTGAAACCTTTATCCTATCCTTCCCCACCACTAAACCCTTCATCGTATTTTGTTCATTTGCTCTAGATAACATGCTAGTCAACACATCCACCACAAGAGGAAAGAGAAATGGGAGTAGAGGATCTCCCTACCTCAATTTTCCCAACAACTGAGACCACTCTTGGGGTTTTCCATTAACAATTACTGTAAAAGAGACTGATGATAGACAATGTCAGATCCACCTCCTCCACCTTGGGCCAAATCTCTTGTGCTCCATCGCTCGTTCTAAAAAGTTCTTATGAACCCCATCATAGGTCTTTTCAAAATCTATTTGAGGTTATGCTTTTTCCCTTGGATCTATGAATGTGATCCATTATCTTGTTCGCGACTAAGGATGCACAAGGATTTATCTACCTCCAATGAAGGCACTCTAGTTTAGATATTGTGTCGTTCAAAACCACAGGAATTTTTAAAGACAAGATCTTGATGATGATTTTATAGAAAATTGTCAGAAAAATGATAAGAAGATATTATTCCAGAAAAGAAAAACAAAATCTCAAAGTTGTTACAAAATAGTTTGGAATAGAGAACTACCCATAAAATAAGGTTAGCTTCAATGAATACCTGAAACTCACCGATACCAGGATACCTCCAACCCATTCTTTCCGGGAAAGATGGATATTTCAGCTCTCCAGATGCTCCAAGTCCAACC